CCTTTGTGCCACGCCCCTCGAGGCAAGCCCAAACAAGTCCATGTTAGGGTCTTAAATTCTTAGTTTTCACACAAAAAATAATAATTTTATAGTTTTAATTGCTTTTAAGAAGATATTTTATTAGGATGAATGAATGGACAACATTACCAAATAGGGGGGGATTCTTGAAGCTTCAAAAGGAGCAAGGCGACAAATTTTCAAAAGGCGCATGCCTGGGCTAAGGTGCAAGGTGCACCAGGCACACGCCTGGGCTAAGGCGTAAGGCGCACCAGGCGCACACCTAGGCGCACCAGGCGTGCGCCTTTTGAATGGGCTGTGCCTAGGACCTGGGCAAGGCACCAACCCTAAAATGCGCCTCACTTGTGCGCCTAGGCGCATCACTTGTTAAGCTCGAGATTTCTCTTAGCTGTTGTCTAAAAAGCTAGGTGGATGCTTACCTAGAGTGGAGTGAGAATGAGATCCATCATGGAAGAAGTTACATGGAGTAGAGTGAGAGCCATCATAGAAATAGCTACTTGGAGTAGAGTGAAAGTCATCATGGAAAGGGTTATTTGGAGTAGGGTGAAAGTTGCTAGAGGGAAAGGGCAACATACCACTAGAGTGAGAACTGCTCATAATGAGAGTTGCCAAGACATCAGTTGTGGAAGCATGGTGGTATGCTACAGTCTTGAAGGTTAAATGATCTAAAAAAAAGGATGGGGCATTGGACATTAGGGATTTCAGGCCAATAAGTTAGTCTACAGTCCGTATAAACTCTAGGCCAAGGTATTGTCAAAGTGGCTTAGGGGAGTGATTCACGAGGTGGTGGGAGAGACTTAGATGGCGTTTGTGGAAGGAAGACAAATTCTAGATGGGGTATTGGTGGCTATTGAATGCATTGATTCGAGGCTAAGGAGTGGAAGGGCTGGTTTGGCGTGTAAGTTGGATATAGAAAAAAGCATATGATCATATGGAGTGGGGCTTCTTGGAAGAGGTGCAAAAATTTATTGGCTTTGGAGAAAAGTGGAGGATCTGGATGTATGCATGTGTTTTGACAATATCTTTTTCAATCCTTATGATGGGTCATTGGAATTTCAAGCATCTAGAGGGTTGAGGCAAGGGGATCTGATTTCCCCTCTGTTGTTTGTGTTGGTTATGGAGGTTTTGAATCTATTAATGAACAAGGGAATGCAGCTGGGTTGGGTTGAGGTGTTCAAAGTTGGGTCGGATGGGCCTTGCATCTCATACTTGCAATATGCTGATGACATGCTTATTATTATTATTTTTTTGGATACTTAAGTGGATCTAGAGTGCGAGAACTATTCTTGCTAATTTTGAAGTGCTGATAGGGTTGAAAGTGAATATTGTGAAAAGCCTTTTGATTGGAGTTGGGGAAATTAGAAGAGAGGAAATGGAGTAGTTTGTTGCTATTCTTGAGTGTCAGGTAGGGGAGTTACCTTTCCAGTATTTGGGTCTTCTGGTTGGCTTTATTGAGTCCTCTTATAGAGAAGAGAGTGGAGAGAGAAGGTTGGAGAGTTGGAAAGCAAAGTATCTTTCATTGGGAGGTAGAATTACCTTGATAACCTTGATAAGAAGTGTTATCATGCCTTCCTACTTATTACCTTTCATTGCTGAAAATCCCATCAGAAGTGGCCGGGAGGGTAAAGAAGATCCAAAGGGGTTTCCTTTGGGAAGGAGTTGGGGGCTCTAAGAAGTACCATTTAGTTAAATGGGACAAGGTGTGCAGGCCAAAGGAGTGGGGAGGGTTGGGTATTAAGGTTGGAAATCTTTAATAAGGCACCACTGGGAAAATGAATCTAGAGGTTTTGGTTGGAGAGGGAGAGGGAGTCTCTTTGGAGGAGAGCGGTGGTAGGGAAATATGGGTTGGGAATCAAGGGAGGTGTCTAATTCTTATGGGGTGAGTATATGGAAAGGAATAATGGGGTTCAATTCAACTAGGAATTCAGGAGTTTGGTTCGATTCAAGGTTGGAGATGGTGCTAGAGTGAGATTTTGGGAGGATGATTGGAGTGGAGTTGGGAAGCTGTGTGAGGTTTGCCCAAGGTTGTACAGGCTGTTGGAGCATCAGCTAAGGATTGATCAATGCTATGAAGTCAGAGGTGAACAGGTGGTTTGGTGGCCGAAGTTTAGAAGATCACTGCAGGATCAGGAACTGGAGGAATTCATTCTGTTGCTGGAAAGATTGGAGCAGTCCAACATTTCAATCTCATCCAGTGATGGTCTTTGGTAGATAGAGAGTAGGGATGGAAATTTTTCAGTAAAGTCCTTCTACTTGACCCTTATCAAAGACCATCTGACCACTGGACAGGCAAAAGGTGTGTGTGCGAACCCAATCCCACCAAGGGTGGAAGCTTTTGCGTGGTTGGTCTCCCTGGATAGTATCTTAACAGCAGATCTCACTTGAAAAGCAGAGGTTTCAGCATGGCGAGCTTTTGCTATACGTGCAAGATGGAAGAGGAGACAGTGTGCTACTTTTATTTTTTTGATCAGCCGTGTGCCACTTATTTTTCCCATGCAAGGTTGCTAATTTGATTTAGAAGTTTTACTCTGCGCTCTTCGGTGTGAGTCTTTCAGCCAAGTTCCACTGCTAAAAGTCTGGAGCTGCATACCTTTTGCAGTGTTTTGGGCCATCAGGAATGAAAGGAACAGAAATGAATGAGTGGTAGAAATGCCTATGATGATATGGATGAGTAGAAAAGCTAGAAAGGATAGCAATAATTCAACAATGGATATGACATTAAACAGAATATAATGGCGAAGCAGGATTCATGTAGCTGACCCATATAGTTGGGATAAGGCTTGGAGGATGATGATGATGGTCAGGTATGTAACATTCATATTCTTATTCTTTTTATTGCACAGTATTTTGTTTTGATCAGCAAAGAAATTCATTTATTAATTTAGATTTTGAAAT